ACAAAAACCCACAGTCAGGTGTGGAGAAGAACTAAACTCACACTGACCCATTTTCCCACAACATGTCCATCCTGTCATCTCTGGGATGGTCCACCTGAGCTGGCTGAATCCATGCCCGGTGTACTCTCCCATGACTATGTGGACTGTGATATAAATAAAACCCATGGCTCTGGTTAGTATATGAGGTGAGTTTTGAAGTTACGCAGTGGATGTGTTACAGCTTTGATTTTCCAAGACTGTATATCGATCGATCACAAGACTCCCCAGACTTCAGAGTCCATGTTCCGGGTGTTAAGCTCTGGTGTGCCAGTTTACTATGGATACAGCATGAGAGAGAAGAGCCAGGACTGTGTGTGTCTGGGCCAGTGAGTGGCTCAGTGGCCACTGGGGCTTGTCACTAAAGCCCTCTGAGTTTGATCTCTGAGATCTAAGTGGATGTCATGGCTTGAATATGCTCCGCCCAGGGAGTGGCACTATTAGAAGGTTGGAGTAGGTGTGGCTGTGTTGGAGTGGGTGTGGCCTTGTTGGAGTAGGTGTGTCACTGTGGGCGTGGGCTTAAGATGCTCATCCTAGCTGCCTGGAAGGCAGTATTCTGCTAGCAGCCTCCAGATGAAGATGTAGGACTCTTAGCTCCTCCTGCTTGCCTGGATGCTGTCATGCTTCCTGCCTTGATGATAATGGACTGAACCTCTAAACCTGTAAGCCAGCCCCAATTTAATGTTGTCCTTATGAAAGTTGCCTTGGTCATGGTGTCTGTTCACAACAGTAAAACCCTAACTAAGACAGTGGAGAAGACTGGTTCTTGCAAGTTGTCCTCTGATCTCCACACATAAGCATACAAACACCCACATGTATACACACACACAGACACACACACACATAGACACACACACACACACACACACACACACACACACACAGGATAAGACATCTTTTTAATAAGCTACAAGAAAGGGTTTCTTCAATGAAGAAATGTTTGAAGAGATAGATGCTTTAAATTTCTTTTAAAAAATAACTTTTCTGAGTATGAATGTCTTGCTTGCAAGCACTGTATGCGTACCTGCTGGAGTCCCTGGAACTGGTGTTCTAGATAGTTGTAAGCTACCATATAGGTGCTGGGAATTGGAGCTAGGTCCACTGTAAGAGCAACAAATGCACTTAACTACTGAGGCATCTCTCCAGCCCCCAATGTTTTTAATTTAACTAACATATCACATCAAGTGTTAATGTACCAACATGTCATGCTTATGAAAGCATATAATTTAAAATATACAGTTAAAAGATAAATTTCACTCAGAAGGAAGGCCTATATTATTAAATATTGGGTTTGTGCTAGGGTGTTTTAAAACAAATGAGGAAAATTCTGAGACATGAAAGAATGAAAAAGAAAAACCTTCAGAAAGTTTCTAGGTGTCCTTATAACCACTAATACCTCAGAGCTTGAGAATCCCACCCAGCCTCAGGAAGGGGGTGGGAACTCATCCCTTTCTCTTCCTTACATCTGGCCTTGCTGGATCACATGTCAAAGCAATGAAGGTAAGCTTCCTTCCAAGTGACCTTATAATCCAGATCCCCCCACCAACCTTGTCAGCAAATCTCTGCTTCTTCATCAGTACACAGATGCCACCCTTGGCAAACGTCGTTGTATTCACGGGCTATTCTAAGCTGAGGGCAAACAGTTGAGCAAACGTGTCGGGCATGGAGTGCCTAAGGAAGGGCAAGAAGCCCAAGGTTGCACAGTTGGAGCCAACCGGGCTTCTCTGCCCAACTCCAGAATCACAAACTTAGAAAACATGTCAGGTCTGAACATGCTTGGCCTTTTGGATAAAAAGGGAGTGCCATGTAACTGTTGTGGAACTTTATAGCCAGAAGTGAGAGCTAGAAGAAGACATAGTTGAGGAAGCCAGAGGGATCCTGTCATTTGATGTCTGATAGATTGTGATGGTTTACACTGTCAGCCTGGCAGGATTTAGAATTACAAAGGAGATGAGCCTTGAGGGACTGCCAAATTTAGGTTAACAGAGATGGGAAGATGTACTTTAACTGTGTGTGGCATGGTTCCACAGGCTGGGGGCTCCCAGAGCAAAGAGAAAGGAGGGAGTGAAGGATGGTTTACTGCTATCTGATTCCTGACTGAGGACATAATGTGTCTGGTGATCCCAAGTTTCTGTCATGATGACCTTCTTCCCACGATGTCAAGGAACTGTGAGTTCAAATGAATCCTTCCTTCCTTAAGTTGCAGATATTTCGTCACAGCTACAAGTGATTAATAGATTATCCCACACTCTATGTAACTGCCTCAGGTAGACCATGGTTGGGGTGATAAGTTTGTTTCATTGCAAGTCTGTAGTTATTCTGACAGAGTATTAAGCAAATCATACAATGATATGGACCCAGGGCACAATGACATTTTCCTAAAAACATTGGCTTATTCAAAATATTAGTAATAGGATAGAAAAAGGCACTTGCCATGTGAGCAGTTACTATCCTCTAATTAAAAAAAAAAACTAGAAAATAATGAATTAATGAATCCAAAGAATTCAGTAGGGTTTTTAAGTCCTGATTTTGAAGAATAACTTTTATAATTTTTATAATTTCTCTTTATTTTGAAAACAGGATATCACCATGTAGTCCTGGTTGACCTAGAACTCAATATAAGATCTGAGTATGGGTGGTGCTTGCCTTTAATCCCAGCACTTGGGAGGCAGAGGCAGGTGGATCTCTGTGAGTTCAAGGCCAGCATGCTCTACACAGCAAGATCCAGGCCAGGCAGGCTACGTAGTAGTAGTGAACCATCTCTAAGTGACCCCAGATGCGCTCAAGTATGCCCCAAATAATGAAAATGGAGTATGTCCAGAGAGGGAGGAAGTGGCACAATTCTCGATGAGCTAAGCAAGCCAACCACAGATCGTAGTTTGGCTAAGGCACACATCATCACTTACACATACCTTAGAGGGGTGTCCAACCTAGGGCCATGAGTTGCATGTGCTTAAAAATGGCTACCAATGCGGCCCAACACCAAACCCAGAAGTCACTTAAGAAATGTCTTCATTGTAACTCAGTTATTTGGTTCTTGAACACAGATTTTGTCATGTTATGTCACAACGTTGAAAGGCTAGACACACCTGCCCGAAAGCTTGTGTCACTCAAGTGGCTCGCCCCTGAATTACCAAATGCAGACAGAGAGAAATAAGGAGACGGTAGCTCCCCATGAATCACGAGAGCAGTGTGGTAGCATGAGCCGCCACCTGAAAGTGAGTTCCTCTAATTTTGAATAAAAACCTTCTGGATTGAACAGGGGAATGACTTTTTATATTGAGGACTAAAGAAATGGTGAGCAGTGGGACCCTGGCTTCTGGGCACTGCACCGGTGACAGGTTCTAGTGAGAGTATTAGAAAGAGGTCAAAGGGCTGCTCAGTAAGATCTATCCACACTGGCTTCCCAGGGCTAAGTCACTGAGAACAGATCTTTGATTGTGTCGGTCCTGGTTTCTGATGCAGCCTATCTGATTTTAGAGGGAATGCCCATTTTCCTAATATACGGTTTGATTCATTCTGACAGGGGTTGTCACGATGCTTCTCAGAGTTTATATACATGGTTTTATCAAGCATGTATTTCATATATTAAGAAGTTCATCTAAAGGGTGTAAATGAGTGGTTTGTGGAATCAGGGTTGTAGAAACACTGATCTAATATAATATCACAACCTTTTTATTACCCCCCAGAAAGGACATATGATATGTATAGTAAGGGTCATTCTGTGAAACCTGGATTTATTTCCCTTGCTTTTGAAAGCATTCTTTTTGAAATTTGAAATTTGAAATTTTGAAATTTGAAATTTGAAAGACTCTTACTTCCAAAGAGAAGACAAAAAGAAGAAAGAGATATATGTAGGACGAGCTTGATTGGCTCACAGTGTGAGTTTGGACCTTGGTCTCTCTGACCAAAAGGCCCAGAAGCATTACACATGTAGGGTTTCTGAACCGCCCAGCAGCTGCTCCAGACAGCTGCTCTCTGAGCACGAATGCTTCGGTGGCTGTCAATGGTGAAAGGCTCTTAGTTGAAATAAGCATACTCAGGTCAGGCTGCCACAGAGGAAGTGCTTTCCACCCGTGTGCAAGGTAATTCACTTAAATGAGGATGCTGGACTGATCTGGTTCAGTCAGCAATTGCTCATTCTGAAAGGAAGTCCAAAGGTAGGGAGGACAAAGGCTGGGTAGACAATACTAACGCGTGTGCCAGTCACCTCACGGGCATCTCCGATTGAGTCCAACACTGTGACTGAGTCCAACACTGTCAGCTTCTCAGGGATCATGTAGAGATATATAGGGAGTTCATCCAACTTCTGACAGAACACATGTGCATCTGTGCGCCCGCTCACTCTCCCCCTCACACACACACGCACGCACGCACGCACGCACGCACGCACGCACGCACACACGTGCAAGGTGTGAGTTCCAGCTTGGGCCTTTTCTTCAGTTTTATGACTCGTTCAGTCATACAAGGCAGGACAAACAATGGAGGGCATAGGAAGTCCGACGGGTGAGCAACACGCAAAGTTATAAGGAGTTATAAGGCAGAGCAGATAGCTCAAGAGAAAATCTTATCGGAAGGCACAGTCCCCTGGGTGAACCAATATGGAAAGAGCGACGAAAACACCTCAAAATAAAGAAATACTTATTGCTGAGAAATGAGCTTGGCTCTCGGCCAATTCCAAAGTTCAGAATTTACCACTCCACTCAGGTTTTCCCCACTAAGATTCTTGTCTCTCGTTTCACAGCACAACAAGGGATTCTTCGTACTTTATATGAAATACAACAAGCCGAGTTTTGCAGTAATAAACTCCATGCACGCATGACAAATTCAAGCACGCAGAATGTTTAACATCCCAGTTCGCAGATTCTTTAGGGACAAAATCCGATTATGAATTATATGCCACAATAAATAGGGCTCAATGTTTCATAAAGCAATTTATAGTTCATAAAAATGACAAAATGTACCTGTCAGCTAGAGCGCGGAGAGCTGTTCTCTGGGCTGCCTGCTGGAAGAAAGGGTAGAGATGTTTATTTAATATTCTGACTTTTAAATTATGCGCTCAATCAACACTTAAAAAAAAAGTATCACACACACATTTTTGTCAAGCGGCCAAATTCTAAACTGTTAGCAACACAGTAGAAAGCCCTGCTGTGTCATGAAAGGAAGGTTCTTGGTTAAGAGTGCTGCAGCAAGGACAACGACAGGGGGACAGGAGCTACTACAAGGTCCCCTTAAATTACTGGAGGTCAGGCCTCTATCCCCGCCTTCGCAAGATTAGAATCGCCACAGCCCTTCTATACTTAGTGAAGGGAGGAGATGTCAGGGGCAGCCCTGTTTACACACTGAAGGCCTAAAGTCAGCCATAGGCCTAAAATCAGCAATAGGCCTGTCATACATGTATACTAACACCAAGTCTTGGGTCTCTGTGGAAAAACATTGAAACAGATGGCTATAAGCTATTGTTAAACAGGCAGCTTTTGTGGAAATTTACCAGCCTGAGTAGTCATAGACCTTGTAAATAGGTAGCCTTGGCAGACAATATCAACTTAGATAAGGACAAGTGAATCATAGGCAGAGTCATAGTGACCTGTTCCCTGAACCTTCACCCAGCCGATACTGAGTTCTGAAAGATATCTGTATTCCCCCTGAACACCTACACTCCAGTGTCATCCCCTTCCCCACATCCTGCCTTTCTGTGTTTATAACCCCTGTGTGAATTAATTACGATTTGAGGAAAAATAAATAAATTATTTATAAAAAAAAAAAAGAGTGCTGCAGCAAGGCACATCTGCCAGTAGGGGGTGACTGTGGTGGAGGTGCTAAGTTTTCTAGTCATGACAATGTGGGGCAGGTCTTAGAAACATGGCAAAGACCTGAGCCATTTTTTTCTACCACCTGAAATTAATTTTCCATTGTTTTATCTTCATTTCCTGTAAGAAAAATAACCTTCTAACTTCTTTGTAAATCTCTATTGGTGTGTGTCTGTATGTTGTGTGTCTGCTGTTGTACATGTGAGTATAGCTGGGCACACCTGTGGACCTGTGTGCAGAGGCAAAGGAGGGCACTTAAGGTCTTGGTCCATTGTTGCCTGTCTTATTCCCTTGGGTTGAGGTCCCTCACTGAACTCAAAACTCTCCATTTTGGGGAGGCTGGCTGGCCACCAAATTCCCAGCATCCACTGGTTTCTGCCCCACTCCAATACTGATATTATAGGCACATGTGGCTATGCTTGGCTTTTTTTTTTTTAATGTAAGTGTTAGAAGTTTGAATCCAGGTCCCGAAGTATGCATAACATGTACTATTACCACAGAGCCATCTTGCTAGCACTAAAGATATAATTTGGTTGTTTTTTTTATTGTTTTGTTTCAGATTCATTTATTAAAGGTTTCTGCATTTGAAGACCCAATAGTTGACTGGACAATCAAAAAATATTATGGGACTATTGATATTTTTAGGCACGATAATGATGTTCTGACAGTGGTTTTGTTTAAGAGTTCTTGTGGCGACCAGGGACACGGCTCGTCTGGTAGAGTTCTTTCTGTGTGTGCCAGCTTAAGCATTATTGTCTGGATCCCAGCACTTCCGTGGAGACACGCACATATGTGTATCTTAAGCCCAGCCCAGGAGCCAAGATCAGTGTGCTCCTGGAATGTACTCCTTAGGTGGACTACTGCAACTCACGAGCTCCAGATTCAGTGAGAGACCCTGGCTCAAAATGACAAGGAAAAAAAAAATACCCCAAGCCTGAAACATAGCAAGCACACCGACAAGTCAGCAGCCATCTATCATGAATAATTATTTTGAATAAATAGTCTAGAGGACAATCATCCACTAAGAAAGCTAATGAGAATGTACTAAACATTTAAAATTACCCCTTCAGGGAAAAAAACAGATATGGTGTTAAAGTAAAATGTATCATACACGTAGGCAAGAGCTGGCTATTAAGAGATTCTGTTGCCTATTTTCCTAATGAAAAAAAGAAAGAAAGAAAAACCCTTCAGTGTTTCACCTGTCTTATTTTAAGGTTGGAAAATAATGAAAGAAATAAACATCAGGATTGAAGAGTCAAGAAAATAATTACTTAGGTGGCTCGTGATTGAAACCCTAAAGTCCAGCTGTGAACTAGATCGATTGCCCAATTCCATCCCTCTAAGATTTGTGCCACAGTGCCCACATTTTCCTCTCCTAATCGCTCATCAGCTTCTCCTCTGAAACGGCGGTGACACGGTCACTTGAGAGGGTTCAGAGAGAGCTTTGCTCATCTCTCCTGAGTGTGTTATTCATCCGTGAATGACGCTGAAGCACAAGTCTACAAGACAAAACAAGTTTTCTGCCAGAAACAGTCACTTTCCAGGCTCCTCTCAAGAGATGACATCTTTTCTACTTCTTTATTTTAACAAGGTTGGTGCCTGGAAACATAATCAGTAGATATTCCAGCTCCAACATGTGCTAAATGAATTACAAGTCACAATCTGTTATTGAAAGGCAATCAAAGAGGAAATTAAATGCCCTTTTGTAATTGAGTCTAGCACAGGGCAAGTCCATAGACACTGGATGGGGTTGTGAAGCAAAAGGAGGAAGGAACCAGAGGTCTGTGACAGTCCAGAGTCATGCAGTTTCTTGATGGAAATAGAATTTATGCATGGATAGATATGTAATTTACTCTGAACTACCTCCTATGTGTAGGCACTGGGTTTGGCATAGGTGACAAGAAAAGCAAATGAAGGTCTCCATTATACCTCTCTGAGTCTGGAGGTGGGGCAGACATGAAAGGTCCACAGGCACACAACAGTTTGCATCACAATGGCTGTGGCTGAGGAGGACAGTACGTCATGAAGTGGAACAGTGGAATGACTAATGGTTACAGAAAGTTCAGTCAGTGTGGGATAACAAGGCCTGAAGAGAAATATGAGACTAGAGGAATGAGGGAGGTGAGCCATTAGACCAGAGAAATGGGGGAGGGAGAAGGAGAGCCATAGACCAGAGAAATGGGGGAGGGAAAGGGAGAGCCATAGACCAGAGAAATGGGGGAGGGAGAAGGAGAAGAGGAATGAGGGAGGGAAAAGGAGAGCCATTAGACCAGAGGAATGGGGGAAGGAGAAGGAGAGCCATTAGACCAGAGAAATGGGGGAAGGAAAAGGAGAAGAGGAATGGGGGAGGGAATAGGAGAGCCATTAGACCAGAGGAATGGGGGAGGGAAGAGGAGAGCCATTAGACCAGAGAAACAAAGGTGGGCAAGGAGGAAGAGCTAGATTCAGAGGAAACACTACAGCAGGCTTAGATCCTAGCTCAGTGAGAAACTACAAGGTCACTGTGGCACAGCTCTGTGGGGCAGTGGGACCATGGCAGAGCCAGATGAGGCCAATTCCAAGGGCTAGAGAGGTCAAGTGTTGGCTTGTGGAGGTACAGGACAATTGGAAGCCATTAAAGGGTTTACGTGGACAGAAGCTAAACGAAGAGTACTTGTATGTTGTGTGTAACTTCCTGTGACTCTATAACAAAGTAATGGGGATTGGTGCTAAAGAGTCTATTTTCAAATGTCACGCTAGCTTCTGTTTTGTATGACAAATGTGTTTGCATAGAGAAGAACTACCTATAAGGTTATTACAATGAGAAATATTCCACAGTGGACACCACTGATATGCTCTGCACTTCGATGTGAGGGAAGTGTCTCTGGTAGAACATGGCAAGGTAGGACAGGATGGCATCAGCACCAGATTTCATGCCTGGGCACCTGGATGGAGACCACTGGCCAAGATGGGGGGCTGCGGGTGTAGGTGTATGAGTCAGAGTGGAGTAGGTCTTGTGTCATTAGGTTCACGTTACCTATGGATGTTTAGTAGAGATGATGACGATATCTGGCAATATTAGCTGAAGTTGTTAGAAAACAAACCAAACAAAGACACCAATAATATGGTTGTGTGATAGCTCAGTCAGTGTGAGCATGAGGACCTACGTTTGAGTCCCAGAGTCCATGTTACACAAGAAGGAGATAAAGGAGGAGGAGGAGGAGGAATGGGAGGGGGGAGGAAGGATAATGGCACACATTTTTAACCCCAGCCTAGGAAGCAAGGAACAGGCAGATTCCTGGGTCTGACTATTCAGTCATCTTATCCTCATCTGCAAACTTCAAATACAATGAAAAGCTGTTTTTTGTTTTTTAAAATAAAGGTGGATCTCACACATATGCGCACACACATGAAAACAGATGCACACATACCTTTGTCTTTCCTCAAAATACCCACAACAGTCATAAAACTGATAAATACAGCTTAAGGTTCTGGGCCAAGATTTTGCTACTTCTCTGAAGAAGCCCCTGTTTGTGTTTTCCTGGAAAGCATCAACACTGTGCTTTTTGAGGTTCAAGCCTTCTGCTCAGCAGGCTTCCTCCTCACTCTGTTCTGCACCGGGGTCAGGCAGAGCCACTGAGGACAAAATCATGTAACCTCCGCGTAAGAACACTTTGACACGGCGTGCTAACAAGATGGCAGTTGGAGGAAGGAGGAGAGAAAACCCCTCCTTGGCTGGGCACCCTGGGCTGTCTGGTTGTTCTAATAAAGACCGCTCTGTGTGGGTACTGCTTGCTCTTTATAAAACCCACACTGACTAGGCTCCTAAGGACAGGCAGAAGAATTCCAGAGGTGACAGAACTCAGTAAAGAAAGTCCACGGCTGAATGGGGCAGCAGAGGACAAACCACCGAGATTCCTGAAGGCAGAGGAGAGCCCACATCTGTGAGGTTTTCTGGCTCTTTCCAGGCACTTGCTCCTGATTTAAATTCCACCTAAGCTCTGAGGTCTAGCTTTTTACCCCGCCAAATTGCTTCATTAAATCCCAACTTTCCTAGGGGCCCTTCTCCCCAAACTCTGGGTCAGTAACAGGAGTTAGGTTTCAGGCCTCACCGGGGAGCCCACCATTGGTTAAGGTAGCATTTTAACACCAGCTTCCTGTGCTCCCTTTAAGATGACATAAGGCAGAGAGATCTTAGTGAGTTCTTCCTTCCTCA